TTTCCTTTCTTTCCTTTCCTTTCCTTTCCTTTCCTTTCCATTCCTTTCCTTTCCTTTCTTCTCCGCTCTGCCAAAATATGAAAATAGTTTTTATATCAATGGTAAACTTAAATTTTATTATTGATTATAACAAAATAAACACATTTAAAGGGTGAAGGATAATAATGTTTATCCTGCCCCTGAGTATTTGGTTTCGAGTAACTGTGGCCTCCTGAGCATATTAGTTGAACAGTCCTAAATTAACGTCTCAAAATAAGCTGCTTTAAAGGCAGCATTGACCATAAACTACATTTCCCATAACATATGTCGATTATGCATGGGAGTTCCCTGTCAGTAAGTAGGTGAGTTCAGAATTCAAGACTTATCACAGTTCAATGAGTAAAACTTTTATAATAAACCTTTCAGTGTTTATAAGAGGACGTGTTGAAACGTTGTTTCTATGCAGGAAAAACAACATAGAGCTCAGGTATTGTTTGTTAGTCATTCAACTGGCCCTTTGAGGGCCACCGTAACGCTCATGTGGCCCTCTGTGAAAATGAATTTGACGCCCCTGATCTAGTATTTTTTTAACTTATTTTTAGATGGCTAATTTTTGCATTGAACAGTCTTCTCTGTCAGTAACCCATTGCTAAACAATAACCAAGCATTCTCCCCTCGTGGTTCCTCCTCAGGTGAGTCACCGTACTGCCATGCCACAGATGGAGGAGATCCCCTACAAGAACGAAGAATGTGGCACCTGCAACCCTTCCTTCAGCTTCCCAGACACATCAGACATTTACCCCACCCCAAATATCCCCGTCAGTCAAGAACCCACTCAACCCAGAGAAGCTGCTGCTTCTGATTCCCATTTGGTTCCTGCTGAAAGTGTGTGCAGCCCTGTGATCCTCAATAACACCTCCACACCAACTAAAACCTACTCTAGCTCGCCCATCGTTCCCCAAGCACAGGAGGAACTGAGCCCTGTATCTTTGACTCACGATGGTGCGCCTCCCACAGGAAATCCTGGTTCACCGAGTGAAATGACCCCAGATGCTTGTGAGCTACAATCTGACACTAGCTTTGGTCCTTCAACCAGCGATAAGACTGGAGTTGCACCTCTGACTGACCCAGATCTGGAAACAATCAACTTTGATAATGCTGACGAGTCACTCCCCAGTCCCTTTTCTCCATTTAGTACTGCATGCAGTCAAATGGCTTCAGAAGAAACAGAAGAACCAGTCTTAAAATCTTACGTGAAAACGCCACCATATTCACCGTTACCGCCCTCACCTCTTCCAGATACAACAGGTACTCCTCCTCCCACCCCAGATCAAGGCCCTTTAAAAGCCACTTTGGTTCATATAGATACGTCTCCCACTGATAGCCCTCCAGAAACACCAAGGCAAAGAGCAGAGACTCTGAACGCAGAGGCAAACCAACCCTCCACATGTCTGGACCATTCAGACCCATCAGAGTCTGAAGCCGGGACAGGGGACAATGAAAGTCCACCTCAGGACAGTGGGCCTTTGGTGGAATCAGGAACCAACCAAGGTAGCAGTAGAGTGGGAGAAGAGAACATGTGTCCTGGAGAAGAAGATGCAGACAAGAACAGCGAGGGTGAGTTGGACTCGGACGAAGAAGAGCTGCTGAGAATTATTGCTCGTTGTAACCCCATTTTTATCACGTTTCGTAAATGATGTCACTATGATATCGCAGGCAATGAGGGCGTGTGGGAAGACGACAGGCGGTGGAGTCTGTAAGACGAAGATGAAGACACACCATCGAACAAGAGCAAAACACTCCTGGCTCTGCAGAGGCATGAACGAGGACAGTATGCACACACAACGCACATATGAAGTAAAACGCTAACACAATAAGGACTTATGTAAGTGCTCAGCAACAGCTGTAATTATCATAAAATTATGTGCAGTATTGTAGCATTTATTCCTCATATTAAAGTTAGTCTAGATAAAAATAAAACTTGACTGCAGTAACAAACATCTTTATAAGTTTAACTCCTCTATAACTGATTACTTTTTAAGGATGTTACATGTCAGACGTGATTGCTGCCAGGTGAAGGTTACGTTCAAGAACTCCTCACCATGGCTCTATTAAATATCCCATCTTCAATCCACCTTAAGTTTCGTTGTCTTTTCTTTGATTGATTGAACTTGAGAAAATTTAATGCAAAGCGTACTATTTTAGATTCCTCAGGTGTTTTTTTTTTTTCCTATTTCTATATACTGTTGGATGTTGTTGTGTTTTTACTGTCTGAGGGACTACAGATGTAAATTAGCCTTAGGCTAAATCTGGTGCAATGCATCAAATGTTTTTATGTTTATGTTTTAATTGCACACTGTCCTGATTGAATAAATTCATTAATTCATTCATTCTTTGTTAAATGAATTAAAGGTTTCACAATAAAAACTGCACGAGACAAAATAATCCATGAAGTTCAAAGAACTTGCCAGATCAGTGGTTCTCTACGTTTGGGCTACAACTCTATTTTGGGCTGAGAAAGACAAAAGGTGGGAGTCTTGAGATGAAATATTACCAGAGACTTACAATAATCATATATGGATAAGATGACAGATTGCTGGGATGGCTGTGTTTTAGTTGTGCTTTTTTTTTTTCAGTATCAATGTTTATACTATTCAGCAAGGGATATTCAGGGTCACAAGTCTGAGTCGTTTTATTTGTTGGGTTGATAGCTGAAAGGTTTGTGAACTGTTACAAGTGACAGGATTGTGTACACTTTGTGAATGTTTTTATATCTTATGGCCAAATTAAGAGTAAAGTTATTAAAGTACAAAGTTGCAAATTGCCCAAGACTCTTTAGTTTGTCACATATTTTTGTATATAGATAAGGACTCTCCATTCCCACTCCATTCTTCAAGACACAGCTGCTTCATGTTGTTCAAGGTGAATGTACTTTTTTTTCCCTTTAATCAAAACTTTACACAAATTAATTTCCTTGATGTATCAACATAAACCAAGTGTTGCTTTGGCAGTCTACCAAAGGTTTGCACCATCCTTTTTATACAGCAAGACAGTGTTGGCAGTAATATGCCATCAATACAACAGACAAAATACTGGGATAAAAACTGGATATCATTTTAAGTATTTTTTGGAAACAAACATAAAAAACAAAAGACCTTTTTTTGTTTGTTTATTCAGATTTTGTTCTCAATAACCAAAAAAGGACCTTGTTAGGAGTGCTCAGTTTGCAAACCAATGACTTATTTACAGTAAAGTCACAAGTAAAAGGCTTGCTGCTGCAGTGAGCTCGTAAAAACAAAACCATTACTGAAGACGTACTGCTACCATTAAAAACAGTGGTTATAAATGGTGGTACTGATGATACAATTATAACAAATAGATGTGGGAAAGAAATTCTTACAAGAAGAAATTTTTTTTTGCTAAATCTCTAACTAAAAAAATGTTCGAAACTCTTTGCTTGGCACATAAGTGAGTTAGTTCAGCTGAATCAAATAAAACTCAAAACATAAAAATCTGCTATCACAATATATGTAACATATATACACACACAAACACACTCATGCACACACTGCTGAGGGATTAAAAAAAAAAAAAAAAAACAGAAGCAGCAGCTTCGAGTACAAAACCATCAGTCATTAAAAGCTAGTCTTAGATCGGATCAGTCGGAGGTAAACACTGTTTTCTTTGGGTGTTTGGTTAAGACACCAGAAGTGATCCAATCTAAAATCAACTTTATCCTCAATTCTACTTAAATCCTTCATCTGCCACAAAACAAAACAGCCTCTTATGCAGGACACAAAGTTTGAACCCAAAGTAGTAAATACAGCACAGCCCCATTCATGATCTATTGCACTGAGACTTTAGCATTTATTGTCTGAGAATTTAACATCTACACTTTGTTCTTAAAAAAATCCAGCATTACTATTTCATTCCCACTTATAACTTTAAACCTAAAGGACAAATGTGTAAAAAAACTGTAGTTTGGAGCTCATGACATAATCAAGTGCATCAAAAGTAAGAAATGGATCAAACTCGACTAAAGACTGTAGCTTAAACTTTGCCGTTGTATAAAAAAGGTTTAATAGTGAGATAAAAAAACTGTGTCGTAACGTCAATCTTAAAGCAAAAAATAAAGGATAAAAAAAGCAGTAAAACTGCTTATTCCTAACCAGGTTTACCATAGAAAAGAATAAAGCGTGGGAGCAGAGGCTGGAGACGTAAAACCAGTGGAGGGTGCAACTAAACACACCGGCCAAGCATAGTTAGAGTGTTAGTGTGTGCAGGATGGGACACATTCAGAAAAATCAAATAAATTATTGTCCGTGGCGTTGACATTAGGTGGGCTCATCCTGTTTTAACATAGTGCCCGCTGGATGAACGCACAGTCTGTGGAGGCAGCCAGGAGTTAGAACTCGTCGTGCCGAGTTAGAGCCTCCCCGAAGTCGGTTGCCTGGCTGCCAACGAACAGGTCGTATTTATCCACGATTTCTTCCTTGGTTAGACGGCCATCCTGACAGAGGAAGAGGAACAACCTTTTATTTCCCTCAATCAAAAGTATAAAAGTAACTGTAGGTAATTGTAAGGCCTGAAAGTAAGATGTTTGTAAATCCACATGCAAGGGAATTTAGACGCCAATGAGAGAAGAACTTAATAAATGTCTTGATGAATGTAAAAATAAATGAAACTTTATAAGCACCTTGTCTGTATCGGACTCATAGACCAGGTGTTTGGCCTCAGCCTCAGCATGGTCGTAGTCCATGGGCAGGATCCAGTCTCTGGTCTCCTCCTTATCCATCTTCCCGTCTTTGTTTTTATCTCTGAATTCGGTGAACTGTTCCCTCTCCGTCTTCACCCACTCAGGTTCTGTGGCGTCTCCGTCCTGGTTGTACATGTCACCTGGAGCACGAGAAGATAACAGTGAGAGGTGATCGTGATCATGAACATTTGATGATGCTGTAAGAACTCACCTATGTATTCATCCAGGTCAATCAAACCGTCTCCATTCTTGTCAATATCTTCCATAGTTTCCTGCAAAAAAAGTAAGACTGGCTGAGCTTTGAAAAACAAAAACATAGGTCAAGTTATCCCTGTCTGAATGGGACACTTACCAACACTACAATGTCTTTCATGTGGTCATATTCCTCAGGGTGCAGGAAAGCTGTAAACTCCTCCTTGTTGGCTTTCATGTCATGGTCTTGGTCGGCCATTTTGAATCTCCTCTCATCACGAGCCATCATCTGTCTGTAGTTGAAACCATCATCCGGGTCGGAGTCATCTGTTGGTTGAAAATCACATTCTTTTCAGTCCACGTCCAAGTTTCGCTGCGTCATCTACGCAACGTGCAATCGGGGCAATGGAGGAACACCAAACGCGGAAGAGAAAAAGCGTCCGCAGACCTACCGAGAACGTATCCATATGTGGCATTCTTGTACTCTTCCCAGGACACCACCCCGTCTCCGTTAAGGTCGTGACTCTTCCACTGTCGATCCACGTCGTCGTAGATCCACCTCTTCTGCGAGTGTTTAATCCACCGCTTCATCTCCTCAACGGTCACGAAGCCGTCTTTATCTTCATCTATACGTTCAACCAGCATTCTGCACGCACAAAAACACATTCAACACTTCAGCTGCTTTAAAATGGATTCAACAGGTATCAGTTTTAAAATGAACAACATCCCGTAAACGTGAAGATGAAGCGTTCCTACCCGAGCCTCTCTTTGCTCTCCTCTGGTGTGAGCTGGTCAAACGTCTTGGAATCCTCTTGTCCCAGAAAGGCCTCGTGGTCGTAATCAAAGTTATCTGCATCATCGTGCTCGAGGTTGCTGAGACGTTCGTCGTGGTGAACGCGATCTTTCTTCTCTGTGGGTTTGCTGGTGGCGTAAACCACGCACAGGGCAAAGCACATGACAAGTGGCCTCAGCTCCATCCTGTGTTTGTAGAAACAATTCCTGAAACAGAAGATAAAACAAAAATAAATAAAACAATCGTTCAACATCCTCTCTCGTAAAGAACTTTAAGAGAGCATCGTAAACCTAACAGTTTTATTAACACAAAGACAGAAGAAGACAGTGAAGAGGTGAACGAGTCACACTGCATGCAAAAGCCTCAGCTAAGCTAAGCTGATGCAATACTTTTCATTTTTTGTAACACAAATATTAGCTGCACGACACAATCCAAAAAAACACAATAAAACGTAAGGCTGATTAACGTAATACCTGATTCATGTTGGATACCAAAAGGGAAACTTGAGCAAAATAGCTTGAATAGATATAAAATTTATGGATTTAAAGGCTTTTGGAAACACTAGGGTAAGTGGCACAAGCTTTGTGGGAAGATAAAAAAAGAAGAAAATCATGGAAAATAAAAATTTAATTAAAACACAAAGCAACATTACCAAATTACTTGCGGGTATAAATTCAATTGATTCAACTGATGTATTTAACAGACAAATTTTTAAGTTAAACAGAGTTTTATAGATTTTCTGTTGTGTTTTACACTTTGTACATACATATCCTATTTAAACCAAAGTACGTACACACGCACAAAGGTTTTTATTTATAATTTTAATAACACACACACTTCATTTGTTCCTCTACTGTCAAAACACTTAGTGATAATTATATCAATGAAAAGTGTTGACATAAGCCACATACTGATGGGGATTAATAAAAAAAGCACAGAGACAATGTTGATGAGTCAGAAAGAAATCCCTCTCCAAACTCTGTTTTGCCGTCAAACTATTTTAGGTTGCATTAATTAATAAAAAAAATATATTGCACCCAATTTGAATGAACATAAAATATTTCAAAAACTACTTTGAAACATTTTACACCTGTTACTGGAGTTAATATTACGCTATGATTTGTGACAAATGAAACACACTTTAAGGAACGCGTAGAAAATCCTAATTATAAATATAAGCAGCTGAAATGTTACAAATACTCATATTTTAAAAAGATTTCTTTAAAATACTCGTTATTGTCTCTCAAAGTCTTCACCACTACCTTGACACCTTCAATGCGAAAGTAGTACTAAATAATATACAGTCATTTTAATTAAAGTCGTATGTGTTTTGAATACAGATACACAACTTCGCTATTTGTGACCCGTTATTCAATCCTGACCACTGGCTAACTCAACACCGCTACTTCTATCTTCCGTCCTAAAATTATCAAGTAAATTCAAACAGTCATGCACCAATAAAATACAACATAAAATACCTTTCAAGCAGATCAGAGCTGGTTTTCACTTGTAGGAGTTTTCGTCCCGATTTGTCAAGAAAACTCGCCGGTGTCTTCAGGGAAGTTCGTCGTTGATGCTTTTTTTTTTTTTTAGACCCTCCCCTCGGAAACACACCCTTCTACTTCCTGTGCAACGAGGTGAAAAAAACGACAACTGACCAATCAGGCTCCGAGAAGCGGAGTGTGATGTCGCCACCTGATTGGTCCACTTAAGGACGAGCGACGATTTGATTGGCCAAGAACCGCCACGTCCTCAAAGGTAACATCGTTTAGTTCATTCATAACTCTTAACTAAGAAAAAATGTTTTAAAAGCTCGTTGAAATAAATAAATAAAGACAAAAGTCTTAAAAATAACAAATTTTATACATAAAATATAACGGATTTACATAAAAATTAGATATTTTTAGATCTACCATTAAAACAAAACAGAAAATCTATTAAAAAACAAACAATGCACATCAAAAATAAAATTAATAAGGAACAACAATAAGGATTCCAGCAATAGTTATTTACATTATGAAAAAATAAAGAAGTTATGCATAATTCTCTTTGTTATAATAAAACATTTCCAGAAAAATTAAAGTAATTCAGAGTTTTTTGTGTGTGTCACTTTCTAAAGTTGTTTTTGACAAAAGTTTTCAATGTCAGGAGATTAAAAAAAATTTAAAATGTGTGTATGTATGTATGTGTGTGTGGGACACTAAATATTAAATTAAATAGAAAAAAAACTGTAGAAAGCTTGAAGAACTGCATGTAATCTGTTGAAGACAGTTTAAAAAATTATGCACAACTCTAGTCTCTCGGAAGAAAATTACGAAGAAAGAAGTGACTTGCATTCTATACTTCCCTTTTTCTAAAACTTGAGTTTTATGTTAAACAACAGAGTCCTATAAGAGAAGTTGCAGTTTTAATTCTGCAATGTAATAGGTTTGATGTTATCAACATGCAAACGATACAAAAAACTAACGGCAGAACCAATAGCATTAAAAAAAAAAAACTACTAAAAAAACACGACTTCCTTATTGCTGTTGAACTACATATATTTATAAATACCAGACCTTGAGAGTTCTACAAAGGCAGATATTGTATCTTCATATATCTGTAAAGTCCTCATATCTCAGCAGCTGAGTTCTCCATATCTTTATTGTCCATACTGTCTTCCATCACTCCTTGTGTATTCTCATTTTCCTCTTGATTAGACAGATGAGTTGTGTCCTTCTGTTCATTATCACTCCCTGCTGCAAGAAAACAAATACTCATATTTAAGTTTTAAAAAGTGTTTTGCCAAAATTATTCATTACGATTAAGATGACAAGACAGATTGGATCAATTAATTGATAAAAAATCTTTAAGTTACAAAAAAGTGGAAGCTGCAGGTAAAAAAAGAAATATAATTTTAGACAACGTGGGAATAAATGTTGTTTTGTCTGACCTGTCGCTGTTTCACCATCTTTCTTTTCTGTGAGAAAGATTCGTTTCATCGTCAATTTCTTCATTGTGTGACACAGGTATTTGAGGTCTACACCGCTGTTTGTTTTTCCTGCAGAAACATTAAAAAAATGAAGCACACAAGCAAAAACAAACAAAAACTCACAAACACTTCAGTATAAATGATACAATAAAAAAAATGTGCAGCAGAACCTCACCTTTTCTTGGTACCTCTTCAAAAACCACACAAGTTCCCAAGGCATCTGAAGCAAAAGCACCAGTATATAGGGTTATTTTACATTATTTTTAATATTCGTTTATAAAAGGACTTTGATTTTCATACTCTATCAAAGGTCTGTACTATTAGTCTGTAGATGTACAGTCCTGCTGTTATTGCAAGTATGACTCAGCCCCCTGTGAGCAAAATGTGTGAATCAGGGCCATAACGATAACCAACACACAGAGGGAAAGAGAGACAAAAACAAGGGGACGTTGAGCCCTGCTTGCACTCACTACATACACATACAAACACCAAAGAACCACAGCTGAAGCATCCAAACCAATAAGTCTGGTGATGGGGCACATGACCCTCTATGAACAATAGAGCTAATCAAGCCTATTGTTAGGTGATGGCCCTCTTTTGCATGTGACCAACCTGTTTGTCCATGTGGAGGCAATGCTTATAAGGCTGAGTTCACCTGAAACTCAGACTGAAGAAGTCTCTTGGAGGAGAGACGAAACGTTTCACTAAAGAACCCATCCAGAGGACCTAATTATTATTATTTTTCTTTTTGATTTTTTCTACCTGGATTACTGAGATGCATCAGGACAGTAATGACAAGTTATGTTGGATTACTAATAAAAATCTTTAAGTTACAAAGCATATACAAGTAACAAAATAATAACATGTTAGTTTAGTTAAATAAATTGTTTGACATATACATTTAATGTTAGTTTTTATCTTACCTTCGTAATCTCCTTCAAATACATGCTGTCCAACCTGCATCATGGGCTTCTCGCTGTCTACATCCTATCACATAAAAAAACACATCAATGCATTCAACTGCAAGGAGCTTGTTTACATCAGTTTTGATGCTAAATCGCTTAAAACGCACCAGTATTTTGCATGGGCCTCGACATTTCGACAGAAAGTCACTGTTGAGTATTCCTGATAGCTCCACCAGAACAAGCTGCTCCTGAAGACAACACAGAGAACAAACACGACATGGACTTAACATTTTTATTCAACTTTACTACGCACAATACAGTAAAACTATAAGGATCTTATAAAAAATATCTAAAGAGAATAGTGTAGTGCCAATGCTGTATTACTTGGCTAAAAAGTGTTTTGAAAAGGTGAAGTAAACCTAGTCATTACACATTACTCAGTCAGTCTGCCACTGAGTGTTTTGTTTTGCTAACTATTAGCTATTAGGCTATTCTACTACAATAAACGCGCACGGTTGTGGTGATCAATACCTCTTCCTCCCATTCATCATCCATGTTTAAACTCCTGAAATGGAAAAGGAATATTATCAATAACCGCCACTTATTAATTTGATCACTTCCGTAAATTGTACGGTATCCGAGAGGGGACATTTAGTGTATATTTTCCCAGCAGCGTTCAGTAAGAGCTTCCTCCATTAGGGGGCGCTGTTGCTCAGTTTAGCAGTGCAATGTGATCTATCTATCTATCTATCTATCTATCTATCTATCTATCTATCTATCTATCTATCTATCTATCTATCTATCTATCTATCTATCTATCTAT